GGGGGGGGGGGGGGGGGGGCGAGGGGGGGTTACTTAAAGTCGTACATGCCGTAGTCGTTAGACCATTGACCTCGCATCCCTACAAAGCCGGGGCGGAGCACGCCGGGTTCTCACCGGACCAGGCTCTCACATCACCAAGCGCGAAGCGCCGTGAGGTATTCGGCGAGTCGCATGAAGGGGGCGCTGCATCCTGCTAAGGGTGTTCGGCATCTTGTGCTTACTTCCTTGCGTGCGAATGACAGCTGCGTATGACTTCATTTTTTTCTGGTGCTTTAACTTCCAGAGACAGCTGTAAGCACTGTGTAACTGCCTCGAGGGTGCTCGACCAATATAACACAACGTGGTGCGATTATCCCCCTTGCACAGAGCGAGGGTTCTCCACCCCGCACAACATGATCTACTCGACCACCATTCATGGTTGCCGCAAAAAACAAAAAACGAAGGCAAAAACAAAAACGGTAACCTGGTTGCCGAGCTCACGAAGTGATAGGCTTGTTTTAGCAACATCGTTGCCAAGCGACGAAATCCCAACCCCGATGGCAAACACCGGGGGGGGCGGTGGAGGGGGGTTAACAAGGAAAAAATAACGAAAGAAAGGCGTTTAGTTGGCTGTACGCTGGTCGCACATGCAACAACATACGCACGACTCATCTCGACAGCTGTAGCGGCGGTATCGTACGCGGGGCACACGCCCCCACGTGCGGCTCTACCTAAGCATTAGTCTTCACGGCCGTTTTTACACGGATCTACGAAGCACAATCAAGGTCGGCGTCTTGCTTTGGGGCGCGGTGCTACGCGATGGAATGTACGTACCAGCATGGCGAACACGGAGAACCCGAGGCCGACGTAGACGGCGGACCCGAAGGGCAGGACCACCTCGCCGTTTCCTCTGCGACAGGAGGAGATTTGGAGAGCACAACAGATTGTTTGCAAACGAAGGAGACACCCACCCACAAACACCGCCAGGGAAACCACGCGTCCAGTTTTTTTCTGTTACTGCTACACGGTATCTGTCTTTAATCCGGAGAGTATCATGTAGCCTCCCCTATGACAGCTCCTCACGGGGTCCCAGATCATGGCATTTGGAAGAATTCTGTAATTTTAACCGCACTGAGACTGACATCTTTTCATTGGTCATCCGGTTGGCGCGGTCGATGCTAACGATGAAAAAACACACACACACACACCGCACGACAGCCCATGGTGCCAATCGTGGGTACAGGAGCCAGAAAGGTGAACCGAATGAATGCGCGTGTGGGTGAGGAGAAACAACGGATGCTCCTCGAGGCTCGGCTATCTACGGTTGGTCTAGTTAACGCTGCGCCGCAGATAATTCCACACGTGTCAAGTTCCACGCATGTGGGCCGCTCACCCGCACAGGATGTCGATCGCGTAGTTGTCAGCACAGAAGGCACCGCCTCCCCAGTACTTGAAACCCGTGCCCACGAGGGCCGCGCCGATGAGGAACACGGTGACACCGGTCACGATGGGGGGGAAGACCTTGCGCAGGGCCTGTACATGTATGGTGATAAATGTTGCGTAACCAAGCTAGATACTTAGTAGGTCAAAGGAAACTTGCAGAAGGGAGCGAACGGTGATTTTCCAGCAGCAACCTCAAGATCATTTCGCTACATAGGTTCCAACGTTAGAGACGCGCCGTGTCAAAATGGAGTGGAGGACAAAGCACATGTGGACGCTGCGGCTGGTTGAGCTGAATGACCCGGTGTGTACTGCCAAGCAATACAGGAGCAGCGTACACAAGCCCTCCTACATTGGGCTTGATGAAGGCGAGGAAGATCTCCACCCAGGAGCAAACGAGGAACGTTCCGAGCACCGCGCCGTAGGCCTTCACGCCGTCAAATTCGTCGTTGTCGTCGAGGAACTCAGACTTTTCCTTCATCTGCGACGAACGAAGGAAAGAACGAAATGTACAACAGTGGTTACACAACACCCCGCGTATGTCACTGGCATCACCCACTCATTACCTGGATGCACTAGGTACAACACACGCTGCGACAGACAAAGAGAGAGGCAGGCACACAAGCAACACACCCAACACGTTGTGGGTACAAATAAGACGATTTTCTTGCGATTTTCTTGCGCCTGCGCCAGACATATCGATCGATCCGGGGACCAAGACGGGAGTGCATGCATCCATCCATGCGCATTGGAATCGCATCGGAAAATAACACAACACACAATGTTCTAACAACATCGCCCAAAGACTTGAGAGAGAGCGAGCGAGAGAGAGAGGGAGCGAGCGAGAGAGAGAGAGAGAGAGAGAGAGAGAGAGAGAGAGAGAGAGAGAGAGAGAGAGAGAGAGAGAGAGCCGACGCTTCCGCATTGCCCGGCTGCGGACTCCTGTAGGCTCTGTGTTTTGCTAATCCGTTGCCTTGCCTGGGATATGGCATCGCGCGCCACCGGGAGGAAGGTGAAAGAGGTCCCCATCACGGACACGAGGCCCGTGCCGATGACGATGTTGGTCTTGGGGATCTTGACCTGCATCACTTGGATGATGGAAGTGATTCCCGAGACGATCAGGGCCGCGGAGATGAGGTACTGAATCTGCTCCGCTGGACTGCATTTTCGCAGAGCAGCACAAGTTGTTTCACGAGCATTGGAGGGGGATCGGGGGGGGGGAGGGGGGGCGTGCTCATGTTTTGCATGTGTGTAGACCATGGACCACGCGTCCTCGAGGATGGAGCATCTATTCTCATGCAGGACCGATCACCGATGGCCAATCGTCCCTTCCTAAATACTTTGCCACCGGAGGAGGAATGGACGACGAAGTTTTGAATTGTACGATGATGGTCGATGACGGTGCCTCGCCGTCCAGGCTGTCGGCGAGGAGAGACACGGTATGAATACCACAACCTGCCGGATGACGTTGTGTTTCTCATTGCATCGTTGCCGCATAAAGTAACATCAGACCGTTGCCGTTGACCACAAATACCTAGACTAAGTACGAGGATCAGGCATGATGCAAACGTTTGCACTCACAGGTTCGCGTCGAAAGTACCGGCGACAAGCAAGGGGACCGTGATCACGCCTCCCACCATGGCCAGCGCGTGCTTCAAAGTTTTTTTCGCAGCAAGGACGCACGAAAGGGGGGGAATTCATCACAGCGAGAACACGAGCGAGGGAGAGAAGGGGGATAGAGAAGATATTAGGTTCTCGCGTTGCTTGCGATTGGACGGCATATAGTTGGCACGTCTCGTCAATCTGATCAGGACGAAGCGAGACTTAACATGTTGGAGGTATCTCCTCCTCCAAACAGAAACAAAACGAAACAAACCAACGGTTTTTGTTGTTGTTGCTGCTGTTGTTGTTGACATGTTGGAGGTATCTCCTCCTCCAAACAAAAACAAAACGAAACAAACCAACGGTTTTGTTGTTGTCGCTGCTGCTGTTGTTGTTGTTACCTTTATTTATATCAATAACTGTTCCGGTCTCCGCAAAGTACGTTCTAAGATCCGTACTGGTCCAACTGACGCGGACGCACCTTCCGGGGCACGCCAACTACCCAACAAAGGGTACACATATTTGCAAATAAATAAATAAACGGGAAAAAAAGATAAGACCCAGACAAATCTTCCGAATGGGATAGATAATACCGGATCATGAATCAAATCGGGAGACGAGGCAACCCGGCAAAAAAAAAGTAGAACAATAGGAACGCCTCATCCAAACGAAAAGAGTATGAGGGAGGGAGCCGGAGTGTATTCGTCGCTGGGGATGCACCGGCCGAGCCATTCCTTACAAAAAAAAACACGTTTATGTGTATCCGCTACTACAGTAGAAGTAGTGTAGATGGTTAACCAACACCAACACAACAGTCGTGTACCGGTTGGTAGTGGTTCCCTGTTTAGCAGGATGCGCTGAATAGTGGTCCCAAAAATTCGTGGCACGGGTGCATGCCAATCAATGTAGCTCGGTTAGTAACGCTAAAAAAAGTTTTAGCCACCATTACGGTTATCAATTCAAAATTTGCGGAGCGCGTGCTTGCGCTTGGACACAGATAGCGAAAGACATGAACACACCATGCGGTGCGCGGATGGATGCAGAGTTGTGCAAGCTTCCAGATGCGGCACTGGGTTGTTGTGGCCGCATGCATAGCGTGGGCGGGGAGGTGGAGGATCCGAATGGCAATGAGATGCACCGCGTTTGCCACTCATGTGCAACCAAGACGGCGCAGGCCTCCCCACGCGTGCGTCTCGAATCCACCCAAGCGCACAAACAGGTGGCAGCTTTCTATCTATGTAGCACCAGGTACGCGCAAGAAACCAACTCGCGCTGTACAGCTGCACGCGGGAAACGAACCAAAATACCTACGGTAGAGTGTTAGTGTGCGCGTTCCTGGGATAACATAGTACACAGTCTCAACACCACAGACCGCTGGGGGCGGCAGTGCACACTAACATAAGAGTCTAGGACAACCCACTTCGTGTACACTCTTGACAGACGTGTAGAAAACATTATTATCCAGAACCTACACAACAATCGTAGTCTATGGCTGCTGTAGTGAGACCATGCGTAACCGTAAGAGTAGCTTTTGACGATGTTTTTGTTTTGAGCAAAAAATGCCCTTTCCCGGTTTAGCAACTCTAAAGAGAGGATGGCGGCGATGCCCTAAATAGAGGTTACCATACATAGAAGTAGATGATTTCGTGACAATATGGACCGCTTTCCACGACTGCTGTACTTTTTTCAAAAAAATATATGGCGAGTACTTACTGCTGCGCCAAGCCCTTCCCAATTATAATTAGTATTCCAGATCATGGCAATTCATCACTGATAACCTTGAAAATACAAAACAGCTGGTAGGGCCCTCGCGGATCTGATTTGGTTTGTGAGAGGTAGAATATAAATACATCTTCTTGCTTCTTCTGTCATCGCAAATAACAGACAATCATCTTTGCACCGCCACGCCGTGCGCTCCGCATGCCCAAACCCATCTTTACCTCTGGTGATAGATCGTCATTTCTACATAGCAAGTTTTCTTTGATGCGACCGCTGTTCGCCAAAGAGAAAACTCGAGGAGAGGAGGGTGTTTTTTCGACCACCACCGGTGCGGTGTCTCGTGGTCTATCTGCACGACGTCCTGGCGGCAAGTCGTGGGTTCGATTCTTCTCTCTGGAGGGTTTTTTCCCGGGATTTATTTCCAGTAACCTGTGGTCGAAAGCAATCTACAGCAGTAGGTCGTGAGCGAGTAAACAAAGTTCGGCTTCACGGTCGACGAGGGAAACGGATGGCTTATTAACCCTTCCGCGATAAAACTAAGGCAAGCACCGTAGGTGGAAGGTGGGGCAACAAAGCAAAAAAATAAAAACATGCTCCTTCTGTCTGTATGACCTTCCTCTTGTGTGAACCCGGCTGATGTACGTCAGGTATTTTCACCGCAAGGGCAGTAATCCGGCTCCAGAATAGATGGGACGAGCAGACACATATACATAGCACTGACTGACGCCTTTTCATTGGTCAGCCGGTTAGCGCGGTCGATGCTAACAATGAAAACACACACACACACCCGGACTGGTCACAGGGCTTTTGTACCGAGCACCAGTACAAGTAATTAGCAAGAACGAAGTGTCCGCAGAACCTTCGCGCCCAAAATGAAAAGGGGTCGATTCCTGTGTATGCCTTTGGCTTCGGAAGGACAAAAGCGTCCCCGCGTCCCCTCACCTGAAGACCCATGACAATTGCAACAAAGGGGGCAACGGCATCGTCGTGTCCGAAGAAAGGCGGCTGCTCTCTCGCCTCCCGCTTGAACTTTATTGTGTTAGTGTGTGAGGCCGATTCGTACACGGGCGTCGGCGGGGGAGTCTCGGAATTAGTTGAAGTTCCCAAAGAGCTATTCTACAGATCGATCGAAATTCGGCAATCCACCAGGCACCGCAGAGAGACCGATGTGCCTATCGATCTACAAGCAGTATCTACAGGATGTAGTTGCTGGAACCGTTTTCTCCGTAGGTCCGCAGCGAGAGACGACAGCACACACCTTACATGTAATGAGGTCGTGCGGCGTGTGACGACGGAAGAGAAAGGCAGTCACATGTAATTGGATCTTCGTATGCATATGCTACTACAGCAGCAGCGGTATACTTCAGTGAGTTATTTCTTCGTCACCCATTGTTTATGTGCATGCGTTGACAGGGCCGCGTTCGACATGCCCACCAGGCAGCACATACATCGTATATCCAATGGACGGTTAGGCTGCTCTCTACACAAAACAAATAGTTTCGACATTTCCCATCTCGTACCTCAACAAACGGCACGCAGAGTGCATCTATCTGAAGCGCTCTTTCTCTCTCACTGACTACTTACCGGATTTGGCGGCAGGCAAAGGAACTTCCAGTCATAGCTTCCAAAAAATCGTTCCGCCATCGTTGCACTCGTTCTGCTGGAACCGAGGAAACAGAGATTGATGTCGTGGGGAAAATTATGACGTTGGTTGGTGGAACGGTCTTCTCCCAACAAGCAAGCGCGGAGCGAGAGAGAGGCAGACTTCCCTTGGCGTGGACAATCTCTACTCAAGAGCTCGAGCAACGCTCGCGCCAAGACAGGCACATCCTTTGCTCTAGCATGTTGCGGGCAAGACAACCAAGGGGTGAGACGATATCCTATTTTTTTCTTTCCCCTGCTCTGTTCGCGAAACAAATGAACGGAGATCAACAGCCCTACCCCAGCAGGTGGTGGCACGGAAAGGTACGCTCGCAACTCTTGTACTTTGAATTACGCGCCGTGCAGGGCGTGGGGAGGAGACGAAGGCAGAAGGGGGAGAGGTGTAATGCCCCAAAGAGAATGAGTAGACTAACAAGCCATCCCCATCGGCCCTGCGTAATATTCGGAAGGGCGGCATCATGACGTCACGAGACTGTGGGATTTGGATATTTTCGTAGATTCGGACTATTCATGGCTGGGTCTCCTTTTATTCCACCGCATCACCGCGCGTGTCGGCGTTCTGCTGTAACTAGCTTACAGGCAATCAAGGGAGGGCAGGGAGCAAGAAGCAAATAGAAGATGGAGGCATCAGGTCTTGCTCCGGAGGAAGTTGTGCTCAGACTCCTCGACGTCATCGAGAAGGATATTGTTCCAATCACCACGTGAGACAGCCAGAAGCGGGGTGGCAGGCAGGTCATGAGGCAGGACCAGCTGGGCAGGACTTGATATTTGACGCTCCAACCCACTTCATCTTTTTACGTAAGGCCTCTGGCGCCTACCTACCCGAAACGGTTTAGAATACCACTTATACATGCAGTAGCTGGACGTGGGTTTTTACGGTGGTTGTACCAGAGCGTTCGTTGCAGAACTCATTACTTGTACCTTTTCAACTAAACCAAACAGCAAGCTTGGGCGCTCTTTCAGCCGTGAGTACCTCAACTCACCTGTTGAACACGAGCGATATTGCACGCCCTTGTATCTGGCACACGCCCTTGCAGCAGCGACGAGCAGAGTGAAACAATAACCCTCCTGGCCTGGCTGAGGCGTAACCAGCCAGAGCGTGCTGGCGTGTGTTGGACAAGTGCGACATCTTCGTAGGTCCTATTGTAGCACACGTGTGTGCTGTTGCTGCTGTTGTTGCTCAGGTGTCGTCTTCACTTTATCACCTGGGTTACACAAGATAGCACCCCCCCCACACAAATACAACTCCCGGTGATATGTTTCCCAAACGCAAAAAAATTCCCCGGGGTGTGTTGGCTCATGTTGTATAGGGTATCCATGCCAGCCCCTGCCAATTAATTATCGTTCACACCGTGTGCATTTCACCTCTGCAACAGCAACAGCAGTAGTTGTTGCAACACCCAATCTAACCCCGCATCAGCCCCCCCCCCCCTCAGAGAGAGGTAAACAAGTACGTGCAAGCCCACATGTTGTAAGTAGTATTGTAGTCGATCTGACTCCAATATTCCCCATCCTACAGTCGGTACCTCCATCTCGTTCATTGGTAGAAAATCATGCTGCAAAGCAAGATAATTATTTAGTGTACGCATTTTGTCAGCGAGACCGTGGCCATCATCTCTCCTTGACACCGTGGAGAAGTGAACGACAGCCTGTACCACGCTTGTCCGACAAGCTACATGTAGGCTATGCGACATCGGGTGACAAACGAAGTAGTACCATAGGACCTTCCCCACACGCCGGGTGTACGCTTTGACGGTTGTGGTGGCACTTTTATGGTAGGTAGAGTATATGCATGACCGCAAGTTTCACCTCGTGCCACTAAGCATGTTGTACAGGATGGACCTTCGGCTGGCGCGTGAACTTGTACATTATTTGCAGGAGACAGCACAACATCGGATCCAACTGTTGTAGATAGCTCTTGAAGATGCTGAAGAGCGACTCTAGTAAACAGCCACCGCCTCCCCCAAACAACAACCACCTGCAGGGAAGCCGTCAAGAAGGGGAACAAAGTTTTCGGCGCTGCCATCCTCAAGCTTTCCGACCTCAGCCTAGTTGTGGCGGGAACCAACACCGAGATAGAGTGCCCTCTCTGGCATGGCGAGGTGAAAAAGCCGAATATCGATGTACAAGATAGGAGAGAAGGGGGAGGGGGGGAACCTCAATCTTAAGATCACGATCAATTTCCACGCCCAGTCGTACGAAAAATAGTCATTCAGTGATGCCGACGTTTCGTGGCACCTGAACTCTCGTTGTCGGCAAAACGATGCCGTCTAACCCGGGGATCCCCTCGTCCTCCACTCGTGCCCCCACCCGTCTGGCCTCTGGGGGCGGGGCTGTTCCCTCCCATGTTCAACTTTGGTGTTGGATACGATGCTCAAGGGTAATATCTGCGCGGTTCTTGACACCATGAAATTCAACATGAGAATACAGGCACGGGTCCATGCGGAAAGTCGTGTCCCAAGGATTGCAATATCCATAGTGTGGTAGCACAAACAGCAGACATATGCATAGGCGCGACACAATTTTACTGTCAAGAGTGTTTTCCGGAAATGTGTACATAGCTTGTGTTACACCCACGTTCTAGCGCCCCTCCTTTGTGCATTGCCTGCACGCTGCTCCTACCTCTGGTGCTGGTGCTGCTGATGCTAAAGGTTGCGTGCATTAAGAACTTTTGGAATCTACCCGAAGAAGGACGTCCCCTCCCGTCCGAGTGCCTCATGCTGGCCACCCATGAACCGTGCTCAATGTGTGTCAGCGCCATCACCTGGTCAGCCTTCAAGGTGATGAGTGTTGGGCTCTGTGATGTTTGGGTACTCTACTCCGCCGCGTCGACCAACGGACCTATGAAATGGCCACCGTTGTATGCACGGTCCTCCGAGCGGAGGCAGAATTATCGTGCGTATGCGGTTGTGCTTGTGTAGGTGCGGGCTTGTGTGTGTTCCAACATACAAGTACTCTTTTGTCGAGACATCTTGCATCGTTTGCCGGCCTATGTTAGGTATGTACTTCGCGTAAGCTGTCTACACGTTCGTGCGTGCCAGCTGTTCTTGCGCATGTGGTTGAGCATGGCTTTGTGCATACCCTTTGTGTGGACAGGAACGTAGACAGAAAGCTTACAACGCACTTCAGTACTTGAATTGTCCGGAAGTCCAAAAAAGGCTGGGCTGTCTTCAATAAAACGGTTTGCGGGCACTATAAATGTACAGCGCGGAACAACCTGGAGTAGCCCCCCCTCCCCCTGCGTGTCTGTGCGTCTTTCCAACCAACCAGGAAATACACTTCTTGTTTTCGATGGAAGACTCGCGGGATGCTTTCAACATCCCGCACGACCTGCGAATCTACCAGGAGGTGTTCAAGTGCGAGCGAGCGACGAGGGAAAACAAATTCTGGAAGGCGTACGACCTGCCAAAGGTAGACCCTGGCACCACCCTGCCCGTGCTTCATTGGCCAGCAGTACCTTGACGACGGCTGTCGGACGGCCGCAGAAGATCAACGATATAGTCAAAGGAAACATGAAAGTTTCTCGGGTACCTGTCTCCTGGCTGGTCTATAATTGCACTAGCCAAACCGAAGTCTAAGGTTTCTCCTGTTCATGAGCGCTAACGACCGAAACTCCTGTTGTTGACGGCCTCCCCTGGTTCTCTGTTGGTAGATTTCCGGCATATCCCCACGATGCACCTGCAATCATCGTGTCGGCCGAAGCTCAGTGTGACACGAAACGGAATCAAAATCGCGGCGTTCCTTTATTCGATGATGCCTCCCCGTTGCTTGCGATCTATCAAGGTGGTTGAAACCCTGCCAGAGAATGGAGCGTTGGGGGAAAAGGTGACCATGCTGAGGGAGACGTACGCCTCGTTGTCGGAGCTGTACCAGGACTCCAAGGGCGGGGCGAGCAGCACGCGTATCCCCCTTTCGTAGACAATGAGATCCTTTGTCATGGGGTCATTTTTCGTGCAGTGTCATCCATGCATACGGCGGGAGTGCGAGTATGCTTCTTGGCATGAAGCTGTACGTTGTACAAGGTACCCCTTTCGGGACGTGGGTGCCAGTCCCCCGGGGGTGACGCAAGCCGAACAGGAAGGCGTGACGTCATGGTTTTAGTGTTGGTATAGTGTCCGTGCAACACCTCGCATGTATCATGGGACGGTGGAGGTGGAAACGGTTGACCCACGTGGGTATGTCTGATTTTGAATGTTGAAGTACAACTGTTGTGTCGCATAGGCAGTTGGATCTCCCATGAGATGGAGGTACTCTGGGAAACTTGAAAGTACTACTCTGATTTTTTTCCAGCAATGATGGAGTCGTGGAAGGTATTTTCTCCGGAGCCTGGTATGGGGTTGTGGAGGTTGGTGGGAACGTGTTGAATGAGTTGCGTGTTCTGACCAATAAGTACATATATATGTTAGGGTCGTCGAATACTCGACGAGCGCTGCATCTACCGTGGGTAGGCATGCTCCATCACCGATTTCGTTTTTCAATTTGCCAAGATCCTTGACTCTCGTTGGTGGTGTTTTTGTTGCCGTTGCTGCTGACGGTACCATTGCTGTTGGCCATGGTCACATTGCCGCGCCGTGGCCATGGTGACTTATAAATCATACTTGTAACTTCGCCCACTTCGCATGGCCATATCCGCCTCGAACGGTGTTGAATCCAACCCGTTTGTCGTGACAAGAAGAGCGCCCGGAGCTCGACAAGCAGTAGTACGAGGAGGGGGGCTGTTTAGGGTGGAAGTGCAACGGGTTTGTTAGGCGTAAGCACGCTTTCTGTACGATTGATGCCCCGCCATAAGATACCAAGAATGGATTCGAATTCGGGTCTGCCCAATACGCGAAGCTTGTTGAATTGGATCGAGTCGAAGGATATATTACCGAAGGTACTCGACGAGGTTTGGTTGGTGAGGTATGGCTTCTTGTAGAGGAAGGTTGGTCCTAGCTTCCACACATATTTTGTATTCCTGCACCCCTCCCTGGATGTTTGCGCGTGCGTGTGGTTGGGACGACCTCACAGAGAGTTGTCCCAAAGCTGCTTCTATTTTACCGATTACTCGTGGGCCCAACTTACTGACTGACTGAGTTGATTGGTCCCCACGCAACGTGTTGCCCCTCGTAGGTGTTGATCGACTGATTTCGAATTTGATGTGGCCAACGCGCCTCGCCCTCATGGCAGCCTCCTCCACACGCTGCATGGATGGTATGCATAAATTGGCGGTATTGTTATTGTGATGTCTCCCGAAGAAAAGGAGGGGGGAATTGGAGGCCTTCGTTGTCGTTGTTACTGTCTTCTTGTTTGCCAGTGAAGACCATGTTGTTCGTTCATTCACACAATCAACCCAGAGGATTGTAGTATTGGTCGAATTGGTAGATTAGCATGTTGTCCGACTGTTCGAATCATATTGTAGTGGTCGAATCTCTCCATTATTTTTGCCCAGACACACACACGCGCAGGGCATAGATAGATGATTGCCCCACATGCTTTCACATATACAGTACGTGGGAGTCAAATGTACGTCTAACATAGTCTACCACTTTTGATCACACCCAGTGTGCGTGTGTGTGTGTGTGTTTTTTTTTTTTCCTCTCGAAACTTCAAGGACACTAAACTACAACAACCGCAAGGCGTAGTACATAGTCTACACTTGTTTACACATCAGCAGTAGGTTCCCAAACCGAAAGACTGCTGAAAACTATGCACACTGTAAATCTATGTTTATTCCCCGAATTAGTCTTCTCGCCCATGCATACAACACACTTTGGTATTGAGACCCTTCTCCTTTCGCGCGTGTTTTGCTGGTAATCCAACGATTTCGTTGAGCTGCTTACGGCGGTGCGTTGCAGCAGGCACAACATGCACCACCAGATCCGTCGCTGAACCCCCCCTCTTATCCCCGCTCCCAGATCGCTAGGTGCGCCTCCGTGGAAACCCTCAGCAGCAATCGTCCCGCTTTTTCCCCCCGCCGTCCGCCGTCCGCCGTCCGCCGTCGCAAGCTCGGCAGTTCCTCCACCGCACACTATCACAACGCATCCATCTTCGCTGACGAGCACACCATAGCAACACCAGCAAGCTTCACCTCAAGACGAGTATGGCTCCCAAACTCATCCTCACGTACTTGTGAGTGCTTGTTGCGTCGATGCTCTGTTGAGGGCAGAATTGCAACTCTCTTACCGCGCACGATCTTCTTGTTGTAGGTCCCCGTTTAGCCCGTCACTCTTGTTGCGGTCATCATCATCTCTCACATCCTCTGTTCTGTCGCCACCCCCCGGTTGCAGCGACATGGCCGGTGCTGCGGAGCCAGTCCGCTGGGCATTGGAAAAGGGAGGGCTCGAGTGGGAAGACAAGCGCTTGACCAGGGAGGAGTTCGGGGCGCTGAAGCCAGGTGTTTGTTCTAGCACCGCACTTGCACCGATTGGGTGCACGCAAAGCAAAGCAGAGCGCTACTAGTAAAGTCAGTCTAGAGCTGCTTGATGCTTCTAGTGCCAAACTCTCGCCCCTGGGCATCTGGTATTGCCCGTGCCGCTAATGGTGCCCTCGAGTTGCCCCGGCTTTGGGGACGGAGAGGGAGAGTCGGAAGCACCATGTGTCTCTTTGGTTGGCAGCAGGGGGAGATCTTTGTGTTCTGGTTTCTGGGATTGCGCTGGCTTTGTTACGGACACGTGTAGCTTTTTCCGAAACACTCTGCTTCTGCTTCTGCTTGTGCAATCCCTTAGTGGCACGTGCAGCAACACCGGACGTATGCTGGCCTGGCGTTTCTGGTTGGCACAGGAATGTGTGTTGGATCCGACCCACACCCGCACCTGTGTGCCAACATGTCGCAAGGGAGTTCGTCGCTGGCCATATACAATCGTGTGGAAGAACAGACAGTGGGTAAAAGGACACTGGCTCTTCCCTCCCACCCCCCCCACCCCCCAGGCCCCATTCAAACGCCCCGACCCGACATCAAGACTCGTAGCTCTTGCCTTATGAAACCCTTTCAGCATGAACGGCTTTGCAGCACTCTCATGCACACATGGCAATGGATGATTCGATTTCCCCCCCCCCTGTTCGCAAAATTTGAATAGGTTGGCGTCGAGTGGCACCGACGCTGTAAAACAAGCCACCAGCCCCTAGACATGAAATAATTGCACTAACCAAATTTTTATTTTCCCATACCGTAACACAAACCCGCCAAGCCAGACATGAAAGAGCTGAACTAACCGATCTTTTATTTTCCCATACTGTAACACAAACCTGACAAGCCAGACATGGAAAAACTGAACTAACCGACTTTTTATTTCCCATACTGTAACACAAACCTGAAAAGCCAGACATGGAAAAACTGAACTAACAGACTTTTTATTTCCCATACTGTAACACAAACCTGGCAAGCCAGACATGGAAAAACTGAACTAACCGACTTTTTATTTTCCATTCTGTAACACAAACCTGACAAGCCAGATATGAAATAATTGACCTAACCGACTTTTTATTTCTCATAACGTAACACAAACATGACAAGCCAGATATGAAATAATTGAATCCAACGAAATACATTTCCAGACGCTTGACCATTTTTGTTTTTATTATTATTATTATTTTTTTTTTTTTCTTCCATCAGTTGAAAACGCAAAAGTAAGCAAGAGTAGAAGGTTATTGGCCACCTTACATACATACCAACACGAAAACGGAAACGAAGCATA